TCCGGTAGTTGTCTCCTCTCCACTTCAGATACCGGAAGGGTACTACCCGGTAACTCATACGAGAGCCAACTCTCATCCATCATGTCCGGTAATGGTGGGGGTTTCTCAATAATTCGATATATTACCCCATGTGAATCGGGCTCTGGAATGGTGGGAGGGACCTCTTCAACGATGACAGTGGCCTCTTGAACGATGGGGGGACTCTTGAAGGATGATAGGGGCCTCTTGAACGATTGGAGGGGACTCTTGAGGGATAACAGGTGAGTCGGGCTTCTTCTTGCGGAGTCTTCGCACCATTGGGGTGAACGGATACGTAATAGCACATTCACGTCGTCTGATGCGTAAACTCCGTCGTGCAAGGAAAACCCGACGTAAAGCATCCACCTTATCGAGCCGCTAAAAAAAATTAATACATAAATCAGTAAATAAACAGACATGATATTAAACAAAGACAAATATGTTTCAAACTTGCATTGTATTCACCCAAGTCATTATTCTATCATAGTTCACAAAATGCATCAGATAACATTTCAGAAGTAAGCACTTATATAAACATTTGAAAGGACAACATATATAAACATTCAAGAAGAATAATAGTTTACTTTCGCAACACGAAACTTACTTTCGCAACGCGAAAATGACTATCGCAACGCGGAAATGACTATCGCAACGCGGAAATGGCTATCGCAATGCGAAATGAAAATCGCAACGACAAAATCGCAATGCAAAATGAAAATCGCAACGACAAAATCGCAACGCAAAACACAAATCGCATTGCGATTTTCATTTCGCGTTGCGATTTTGTCGTTGCGATTTTCATTTCGCATTGCGATTTTGTCGTTGCGATTTTCATTTCGCATTGCGATAGCCATTTCCGCGTTGCGATAGTCATTTTCGTGTTGCGAAAGTAAACTATTCTTCTTCTGCAAATTGAAACTTGAATGGATTGCATTACTTTAACCAAAAGACAAAAACAAAACCAAAAACAAATACTAATAAAAACAGTTTAGCAGTATTGGAAGCAACCGAATGAATTTATTAAGCAATCTAAGTAAAATGGTTAATCTAAGTGAAATTACGAGTAAATTTATCATCAAGTTAAATATGAAAAATCTTAAACTTACCTCGTTGCGTAGAGTATGAACCGCATTCTGCAACGATGCTACCATCTCACGTAGAGCGGCTACCTCACCACGTAAAGTAGACACCACAACACGTCATGCACCATCGTCTTTGCGTAAAGTACCGACCTCCTCACGCAAGGCATTGACCTCATCACGTAACTCCCCTAACTCATCCCGTGGAGGTGGAGGTGGAGAACATGGAGATAAACGTCGTGGCATCTTTGTCGGTCGCCTATCTTGCGGTGATGGTGGAGAAGAGGCTCGATGATGTGACAGAATAGGTGATGGCTGTCGTTGTGGAGATGTATAGTCGGGTCGATCAGGTGATGGCTCTGGGTGAGGTGATAGCTCTGGGTGAGGTGATGGCTCCCGAAGTGGAGGCTGCTCATCATCCGTGCCATCAAAAAAAACGCTTACTAGCTTGCCACCAATCAGTGGCAAGCTCAGCTTCTGTGGGTGTCAGCCTCTGTAATGGAGTGTTGGCCTCCTAACAATATAAAAGCTCAAAAAAAGTTAAACGTGTACTAGTAATAACTTATTTATAAACATATGGTAGTATTTATGTTAACTTACATTATTTATTGTCGTATATCGTAGTAAATCTTCCCATTGCAAGGTCTGTTTCCTCTTCCAGGAAATAGCCCTGGGAATATCATTTGAAGTTTTTATTGCATATGTCTTCATGGCGGGAAAGGCCTCAAATATCCAAATCTACAAACAATATAATAACAAACATTAGTAATTGTTAAATAATTACTTATAATTTTGGAAACATTATATAAAAATTCTTACCTTAAAGGCCCAAATAAAGCCTGTCAAAGTGTATTTGGAACCATCGCCATGCAAACTTTTTCGATCATCCAAGGCAGATGATAACTTATTCCATGTAGCTTTCCATAAATACGAGCCCCACGGAAACAGGTTCCATGCATTTAGGTCTTCTACCAATTTAATTAGATCATTCATAATATGTTGTCTGGCCTCTCTGCCTAAAAAGCCGGCATGCAAAAGTATTAGAAGGCATACTCGGACAACATCGACGTCATCCATCCGAGTAAAACCATCTTTCTTATTCAATAATCTCGTCAGGTCTTCCACGTGTAGATTCGGCCTCTCCAGCTCAGGAAAAACCCGGGATAACCATGATGGGCGGGTAATGTGTCTAGTGTACCGACCTACATCATCGTGTCTGAAGCGTAGACCGGTGATTAAGCAAAACTCCTCCCGCCCAAAACACGTATACACCGGTGGAAAATCAAACCATATCTCTTCATCACGACGTTGTATAGTATCAGGTAGATCCCTAGTCATGGTTTGAAGAAACAGGTGTGTCAACATCGCATCTCCACCGGGATGTTGTACTTTCAGCCATGGCCCGAAGCAAGTATCCTCAAACATTTTTCTTTGTGCAGGTGAAAGCTTCGACGCAATTGTTTTGGCCAAGCTGACTTTATTTCTTAAGGTCAATTGAGCCGAATAAAAGTTCTACAAAAACAATAAACATACTAAGTTAGATATACCAAAAACGACACTGTGAAGATATACCAAAAACAATAATAAACATAAAGAGTAGTAGTTTATTCTTCAAACTTAAATTTGCAACACTGTGAATTTCTTATTTGTCTTTGTTTTTTGGTTGAAGTAATGCAATTCATTCAAGTTTCAATTTGCAGAAGAAGAATAGTTTCTGAAAATGAAAATCGCAACACGAAAATGACAATCGCAACGCGAATTTGACTATCGCAACGAGAGAATAAAATCGCGTTGCGATTTTGTCGTTGCGATTTTCATTTCGCGTTGTGATTCTCGGTTGATTTAATAAGCAATCTAAGTGAAATGGTTAATCTATTATTGAAATTACCAGTAAACTTATCATCAATTTCAATATGAAAAATCTAATAATAATGCAAAAATTTCAAAAAGAAAATAATTAAAAAAACTAACCCTCGGTGGTTGATTTGGTTGATTTTCCATTTCTGATTATGAGGGTGGCTCTGAGAGATGGAGATAGACGGATTTCGCTGGAGATGGGGACGGATTTTGTCGGAGATGGGTGAGAGAGTGAGAGATGGAGATGGGATTGAGTTGTGATTTTAGGTTTTAGGTTATGAGTTGCGATTACGGGATATACTGTGGACGGTTCAGTGTTCCAATATATTAATATTCGTGTTTGGAATTTGAAAATAAAATACGCTTTGCGATACTAATGGCGCTTTGAAAATCGCATTGTGATTATGTATTATCTCGTTGCGAAAGTCAGTATCGCATTGCGATTTTGTATTATCGCGTTGCGATAGTCAGTATCGCATTGCAATTTTCCAAATTCGCATTGCGATTTACTTATTCGCATTGCGAATTGGGAAAATCGCAACGTGAAATTGGAAAATCGCATTGCGATAGTAATAATCGCGTTGCGAATCTGGAAACTGATTTGCGATAATGGAGATCGCGTTGCGAATTAGCGATCGCATTGCGATTTTGTTGGTCATTTTGGCAAATCCGGAAAAAGTTGGTTAAAATCGTATATTATATGAGATTTTTGGTCACTGAGGTTATTTTCTTTATAAAAAAAGTAATTGCTCGTATGGATCAAATTATCTTAAAAGTCAAATGATTTATTATTATTTTTTAAGATTTTAAATTCGAACACTACATATATATATATATAAGAATATAAACGTACATTATTAAATAATTACACCTTTAAACACATAATATATTATATTCACCTCAAATTTATAAAAAAAAATTACTCATTATCTATCAGTCTAATAATTCAATAATATATATGATTAAATTACTGGGGTGGAACGTTTGAATGAAAGATAGTGCATGAAATGAAACGGTGTCTTTTTAATTACAAAATGATTATTTTTTAATTAATTTGAGTTGAATACAAGATAATATATATTTAAAAAAAATTTCAATCATTTGACAATAAATATTTAATTATACATGCAGATAATATATTCGAATCTAGGACCTCTAGTAATAACAATCATCACCTTAACTATTGGGGTTACTTAATTCATACGCGTAAGGATTATTTTTAATTATAAGTATTATATATATAATACTCTTTAACCACAGATAGATCGAAATGGACAATTAAAGAAAATCGTCTTCTTAAAAATTTCAAATTATAATATATTTTAGATATTTATTGTATTTTTTTATTAACAATCTATTTTTATCTCTTAAAATTTTATTATTTATCCTTTATAAAATTTTAAAAAATTATCTTATGACACAAATTCATACCTCCATTCCTATCTTCGACCAAACTTAAACTAATAGGAAAACAATAAGTAATTCATTTCTTTCATTAACTAAACTAATAATATTAAGCACAATTATTTTATATATATAAGTTTATGTATTTATTATGAATAAAATGATACCAACTCATTGAAAGTAAATAATTTGATAAAATTATTAGTCCATGAAGATGTATGATCATTGTATAAAACAGTGAAAGAGACAGTTTTTGGAATGATAGAATGGTACATGGGACTGTGTTCCAAAAATGAGTGTTACGCATGATGGATCGAGATGTGTTAGGTGCAGTCTCACCTTTTAGAAATTTTAAATATTTTTTATATATTAAATATTTTTATATATTTTATATAAATTATTTGACTTTAGGAGTTTTATAATCTCACACCCTTTCAATTTTTAATATTCACACGCCGACACAAATTTTTGCAACCGGTGTTACGTGCATAAATTGTGTTAGAGTAAAGTGATGCTAAACTTCCACGTCTCCCATACTCCTTTCCAAGTGTGCAATCCATATTCAAACACCACATTCAATTATTTGCTCTCCTTTGCCATCATATATATACAAATGTTAGGAAAGAGAAGAAGATTAAGAGAGAATGAGAGCTATAGTGGGTATCGATGAGAGTGAGGAGAGCTTCTATGCTCTGCAATGGGCGGTGACTAACCTTTTCAGTGCCGGTGGGGAACCAAACATGGTGACTCTTGCTCATGTTCACCAACCATCCAAGCGCTATGGGGTGGCTCCTTCTGCCATCCCCGCCGGAGTTGGAGTTACTGTTTTCCCATCAACAGCGGTGGGGGATTCAGAAAGGAAAGCTGAAGAACAGGCTTCAGCTTCTATACTGTCACAGGCTTTGGAGATATGCAGCAACAAGGTGTGGCAACTCTTCAAGGTGTTTGATTTACAGTGTGTTTTAGATTAATATAGTTTTGATTGTAGGTGAAAGCAGAAACAGTGATAGTGGAGGGGGATCCTAAGGATATGTTATGTGAAATCAGTGAGCACATGAATGTTGACCTCCTTATTGTTGGCAGCCGTGGGCTTGGAAGGATCAAAAGGTGAGCTTTTTCTTTTATTCTGCGATGGATTACTATTTGTCTTTCAATTGCTGATAAAATGGAAAAAAACAGGGCATTTTTGGGAAGCGTGAGTGACTACTGTGCACACCATGCAAAATGTGCAGTCCTGATTGTGAAGCCACCCACCAAGGACTAAATTAATGGCCCATTCAACAATCTTATCTTCTTCTTCTTGAGTAATGTGTTATATAGGACATCTGTATTGAGTGATGTGTTTGCTTGTAACTCTGTATCTGTACTGCATATGTTTATATTTTTTCGAATTGAGTGGACTGCTTGTAAGCTGATGTGGCAATGGAATAGAATATTGATGGATTAAAATAAGTTTGGAGAAAATGTTATTCCACTTTGATCTAAACAGATTAACATCAAATAATTATTGTTTTATTCGTTTCATCTATCAAAACGCATCCCACTTTTAAACCAAGGAAAGCAAGTTATAAAGGAAAGAGAAACACCAACTCTCCCTCCATATCTTATGGTTTTATAAATGTTGGGTTAATTTCTCTCTCAAACAGTATATATATATATATAAACAAGCAATCTTAATTTAAAAGAACGAACTACCCTAGCCGATTTACTCTTTCCACCCCCCCCCCTTTCTGTACCAGTTTCTATAGAGAATCAATTTTTTCTTTTCTAATTTTGTTTAAAAGGAAATCAAACCTTGTCCAATAAGGTTAGGTTCATCTCCCTCCTCTCACTCTCCTTTCATCTTGACACTGATTCGACACGATTTTGATATTGATTTGATATTTTCACTTTCTAATAAGAAATAATAGCTTTTATTCAGAAACAAAAAACTACATGCATGATTTTTTTTTTTTTTGAAATAGTCGGGGTGATTATTGTTGTTATTATAGTTATACTGTGATACAGGCATTCCCTAAATACTTGGATAGTCAAAAATGAAATTATAAATAATACAACCATTAATACCATATTTTATTATCCGACGCTGACCACTTTTGTGTTTGGAAAAGAAAATCTCCTTGGTTATGCATGGATCGGTCGTCTACAGAAGAAACCATAAACGAAAAATAAATCTAGAAAAAGAAAATGGATGCTATGGTTTCAGCAAGTTCATGTATTGCAGACAGTAGTAGTTCCAGTTCTTAATCCTCCTTGTTGGAAATACTATACACTAGCCATTTGACCACAAATTACATTATGCACATTCAGGTGCGAGGACTAAGCCGCTTGAAATCAAGCTCCATGGCAATGGCATGGACGGTCGTTTAAAAGTCAAAAGGGGTTCAATTTTGCAGGTCAGCCCTGTAAAAAAAACCAGAATAAGACAAGAAAACACCAATAACGTGAGGATTCAAGTATGTAATGTACCTGCTGGCTCATAAGAATTTCCACAGCCACGTTAAGATCTCCATCCGCAGCTGCTATTGCAACTTCTACTTGTGTCTGAAACAAATACCAATTCCATATTCAAACACAACTGATAATGAGGGTGCGTTTTGTCAGTGTAAAAATGAGCATCGACTTTTCCTTTCAACCTATATTACCCTGCCTCTTCATTTTTACTAAACTGCCCATGTTTAACATGCATATCCGACATTCACAATCGAGTTCGAGTAGCATAGCTTGCAACCACCAGCTCAATTTTTTTATATGCAAGGGTATTAACATATGTAGACATCACATAATTACTGAATTACAAAACCATGTTCCTCACAGAAAAGCAACCTATGGATGGCTGCACAAATTTTGTTGGCAACACAAGACATGCAAGAACATCATATAGAACGTATATGTTGGAGAAACAAACATCTTATAGAAAGCTATAAAAAATGCAAAATGGAAGTGATCTAACTGTTACCCTTTCAAAACCCATTGAAACGAGTCTTTGGATTTGTTCCTCAGAAGCAACCTGAGGCATCTGGCAGACATGAAAACCAAAAGAAGGATTAAGGACCTTATTAACCTTAAAACAAACTATAAACAGAAATAAGAATGATTCTTAAACAAGAGAAAGAAACCTGGGGAAGCGGATAACCTCCAGCACCAGCTGCAACTACGTCATTCACTTGCGACTGCCTGAAAGATGAACAAGAACATGAATGACCTTTCAATCATATACAAACCGAAGAAGATTCACTGCCATAATAAACAACAAAAAATGTTACACGGTCTCCGGGGCAACTAAAAAACCCAATAAGATCATAAAAGTTATTACTAGACCAAATATAGTTCCAGGAACGGGTGCTACGATTTCCAAACCAGAAGTGCACGACATTAGCCAGATTGATATTGGCTTATTTCTAAACTAAAGAGGAAAAAAAGGCACTGACACTATGCCAATTTGAGCCCAGTAAGTGAAATGAAAACAAGACGATGACAGAAACTTCCTGATACCTTTCATTTAAAAGCCTGGCCCCAGCACCAACCGCTGCAGTATCTGGAGTAGTGGGCCTACTATTATCCAAAAGTCTAGCTTGTAGGTTTGAATCTGAACTGACAGCAGCACTTTGAACAGAACCAAGAGTTCTGGCTCTCCCAGGAAATCTGGGATCTTCTTGAGCTGACTGCATGTTATTGAAAATGATCACATTAGTTTTTCTTTGACCAGGCTTCTTCCGGGACAACTGGCACAAGGGTGCCACAGTTCAAGTTAAAGCACAAAATTAAATTGTGAATACAAGATCATTGTGTCATATTCTTCAAAGTTGCCTTCCAATATGAAATGAAATCACGATAAACGTGTAATGACATTTACTCCAACAAATGCATGAGATTCAGACTCATGATAGAAAAATAGGAAGAATCCTATCATCACAACTTAAATTTGTCGGTTACAAGGAAAAAGACAGGCACTGTATGCATTAAGATTCAAAAGCAGCCACTGCATGAAAATATAATAAAGTGCACAAAAGTTCTTGACCAAGAAAAAGAACAATATAAAATCATCCAAGTAGGATTGAATCAAAACCTGAGCAGATGTCTCCCTCTGTGGCACCCAGGAAGACGTGTTTCTCCAAACGTTTCCAGAAAATAGTCCACTGTTTAACAAAAATTATCAGATGAAATTATCACAAGAGTGGATGAAAGCAGAATTTGAACAAGGAAAGAAATGTACCTGGAGGGTGAATTTTGAACAGTGTAAGCGGGGATGTAGGCTGAAGGATTTCCACCACTGCATAAAATAAATTTGGGCCGCCTCACACAGCTTGCCTAAAGAGGGTTTGGATAGCCTTGGATTTATTAATCATAAAATCATTTCCGGAATTAAGCAGCAAATATTCTATTCAGCGCATTATTGTAAATATCTAAGTGGTGCTGCATACAACCATCTAAAAAGGATAAACGATTAATATATGATAAAACCTTACAGTAGTTCATCTGAAAACTTTCAAGTTTCTGATTGTAGGAGAAAAAGAAAGAAACCTTGTCCGGAAAAGGAACGAAGAGAAGAAAACCCACATTATTTGGTAACAAAACATGCCACAAAACAATTTTTATTATCGGGATGGCTTCAAATAATTTTATAGGACCAGGAAAAATAGTGGTTGAACATTTGACCTCCAGATTAAATGGTGAAGAGGGTTTGAGTAACTAACTATAAGAATCCAAATACAAGGATTCTTTGACAGAGATTGCACATGCATGTCTATAAATACATGCTCACGTAGTAGTAGTCAGCTCATTAGATGCAATCCCCCTAGAGTATTTCTTCTTACATAAAGGTAACTAAAAATACAAAACTAAACTAGCAAGTTTCTGACAATAGTTCTTTTGCATGGCTGTGGCTGTGTCAAATAGGAAGTAGTAAAGGAATTAAAAGCTATAGTCTTGATTCAATAACCCTAAGTGGGAGAAACATGCAAATTTTCTCTTTTTAAGAGGTATTCAACCAAGATCAATGACCAAGGCAACACAGAAACCTGTTGAGCTTAATAAATATAAAGCAATATCCCACCTAGCATAAGGTTATCGGCTTGACCATTACCTAATAATAACAGTTTAACACTGAGTTGAAAAGCATACCGTTTGATGTCAGATAGGATTAATGAGATCCTAATCGGACTAAAAGCTAAATGAAGAGAAGAAATTCAAAAGGCATAGTAAAGAAAAATCAATTGTTATTACTAACCAATTCGTCAGAATACTTACAAGCCATGATGAGGACTCAATGGCGGTGTAAAAGGATGGTCCAGGAATGAGGAAGTTGAATAAGCCATAGGTATCTAAAAATGTTGACAACCATTAAAAATTGCCTAGCTTCAACAAAATTTATCACATGATTTCCAGAAAGTACAATGAAGAAAAGGCGAATTTTCATAAATAAATGGGAAGACATACATGCAAAGCCAGACAAAATGCCACAGAGGTGTCCAAGTAATGAGACATTTGTCATAAGCAGCTGGAATACTACCAATAAGATGAATGCATACCTGAAACAAATATTCTGTTATATAGATAGCACAGAACATAAAAGGAAAATAGGAGATACCAAACAATACAGAAGCGACTGCATTTACCATTTAGCAGGAACATTAAAGAGACCAAACACACTGTAAGGAAAAGAAAGTCATGAATCAGTCAAAAGTCATCAACCATTATATTGAACCAAACAAACAACACTTTAGCACCAAGATTCTGAGAATACAAGAGACAGGTATTGGATATCCATCTGCATCATAGACAGTTAATCATGCATTGCATGTAAATGCAGCAAGTTTCTCAGCATGCAGAAATAAACTCCTTCTCATGCATGTACCTCTAGCACATAGTATGCATGTAAACTAACATGCATTAATAGTACGGGGAAAAGTCAACATAATTTTCCAATATTTTTTTAATATAAAAAATAAGGGTAGAATCACAGAATAAAAAAGCTAGTCAAGAAAATTTGTTCCATGGTAGCTATGAAGAAACTAACCTCCTAGACTGAACTCCACTCAGACTTGTCTCTATAACGATCATAGAAAATAAGATTCCAGAGAAGCCTATTGCACACTCATTCATGAAATGGCCATAAGGATGGAAAGGATTATGGGCTGCCACCAAAGCAATAATGAGATGAAATATGGCGTTGCTTGTTGCTAGCAAAATTATCATGAATAACAAGCGAATAGATCCCATGATTCTCTCCAGTTCGGAACCCAAAGGAACCAAAGCCAACATGTTGAACAAAACATGTAACAATGAACCATGGAAAATAATGGAAGTGTATATCCTGTAAACTGCAACAACAATAAATTTTCAGAAAAGTTGGTAAACATCAAATATTACGACATAAAAGAAAAGGCAAATGAAACATATTCATTTTTTTAATTAGTAAATGAATTGCTTCCGTGA